CACTAGCTGCATATGTAAGGTCATGGAACGCATGATACTCGCAAGAATGTCATGGTTTCTCGAGAACAGATCAATATATCCAAAGGAGATGGCTGGCTTCAGAGCAGGACGCTCAACTGTAGACAACGTCATTGAACTTATCAGCTCTATCGAACAAGGCCTGCATGAACGCAAGATAACGTCGGCCGTTTTTCTAGAAATAGAGAAAGCATTTGACTCAATTGACCATCACTGTATCCTAAACGCCATAAAAAATCAAGGTTTTGGAGGTAGAATATTCAACTGGGTTCAAAACTACTTAAGTGAACGTACGGTTTTTATGGAAACGATTGAGGGCCGAACAACCTTACATAATGTAAAAAGAGGAGTACCACAAGGGGGAGCCCTGAGTCCGCTGCTTTTTAATCTCGCGCTCTTCAACTTACCCCGTCAGGTTTCTAAAGACGTCCGCCTTTCACTATATGCTGACGATATTTGCTTATGGGCCACCAATGCAAATCGCTTTGTCACTCAAAGGAGACTCCATAAATCACCCATAAAAATCAGTAATTTTCTTAACCGTTGTGGTATGAGCCTGTCGGTCGAGAAGACAGTAGCCATCGCCTTTACTCGAATGTCGATGAAGCGATTTCCTATCGTCTTTGGTGGACGAGTAATTCCATTTGTTGTAAAACACAAATTTCTCGGTTTTACAATAGACAAACACCTAGCCTGGAATCACCATACAAAAGAACTAAAATCCAAGCTGGCCTCAGCCGGCAACGTGCTACGCTTCCTGACTGGCACCACGTGGGAAAAATCCTTTAAATCTATGCTAATGCTGCAAACGTCTTTAATTAATAGCCTTCTCAGATATAGCTTGCCAGTTTTAACTAACATATGTGTATCGGGCACAAAAATCATTGAGGCAGAGCTTTGTAAGTCCCTCAGGACTTGCCTAGGTGTACCCCCGGGCACATCAAGTATCTGCACTATTGCCGAAGCAAGGGCATTGCCTCTAGCAATTATGGCAAAACAAGAAGCATTACGTATTCACTTGAGACACAAATTACAACACCGTCAACATCACTTGTCAGACATAACAAATCTGCGACCAATGTCAAGTTTTGGCAGAATATTATTTATATGTACCAGCAACGTTCCAAATTATGCTGAATTCCATGCAGTCTCAGGATGCCCCCCGTGAACTCTAGCCGTACCCCACGTAAATTTTAATATTCCTGGATTTACAAAAAAGACTGCTCAAGCTCAACCAGTCGTACTGCAACACGTACTAAACCTTCTACATGACAAGTACCGTAACAGTACTCATGTTTACTCTGACGGGTCCACGCGCTCGGAAAGTTCATCATCTGCATTCGTCATACCCAGACTAGGTGTTGTGGAGGCACTGAAACACTGTCGAGTTGTCTCCTCTACCGCAGCAGAACTCTGCGCGCAGAACATGGCCCTATGCTACATTACCAAGTCTACAAGGAGATGGAGGTGGACGATATTCACCGACTCACGAGCGGCATTACAAATGCTACAACGGTCACCTTTAAAATCATCAAACCCAGTGCTGGTTATGAAAACACTTTGCAACTATGCCGCAGCAACAAACAAGGGTCATACAGTTGACTTTCAATGGGTACCCGGACACACAGGAATTCCTGGGAACGAGTCGGCTGACGCTGAAGCAGAAAATGCGCATAACCTTGCTCCATCTGAAAACATTCCTTTCACTCGACAAGAGGCTGCAAGACATGTGGCATCATTCGGTAAAAACACTTTCCTGGGTGAATGGTCGTCCACCAAAACTGCTACCCATACCTCCATCAAATCGACCCGGGACTAGAAAACTCTATTCCTAAAAAATTACCTCGAAACGTGGAAACTTGTTTGCATAGATGTCGCTTGAATTCTGCTTTCACAAATATTCAGATGCACAAATTCGGGTTTATTTCAAGTCCGAACTGTTTACAATGCAACGTCCCTGAAGACCTCCACCACGTCATCTGTGAGTGCGAGTTGTTTAACACTGAGAGACGCGCACTTCACGACACTATTCAGAAATTAAGTAGCGATCCATTGAGCCTAAACAAGATCCTTGGCCCTTGGAACGATCGAAAAAGCCAACAGACCGCTATAGACGCCTTAGTGGTCTACTTAGAGAAAACAGACCTAATTAGCCGTCTTTGACTTAAAATCCTTTCCCGAATAACTTCTAGCTCTTGATAAGGCAGGGAAGTGACGCTGTGTGCAGTATACTTTATGAGGCGGAAACGGCAGTCACTGAGCCCCCATCTTTCTTTACTGTAGGAATATCTGAATATCTGCTTCATTGTGACATCTCTTATGTGACGGTGCGAAGTGTCCGGAGACCTCACGGTTGAACTCGACAGAACACAATGTTGAATGCTACAGACTGTTATACATGAAGATGGGCTTTTTAACTCTAACAGTGTCGCATTACAAAAGCGATCTTTTTTTTCTTCCATTCATTGTGTATATATTTACAAATTCTCACTATTCTGTGATAACTGATTTTTTTTTTGCACCAGACTGTATGCGCTCTGTGTTTTGCTACCTTTATTTTTTCCTCTTCCCTGTCCTCTGTTATCCCACTCCCCGTCCCCACGCAGAGTAGCCAACCGAGACTTCTTCGGTTAATTTCTCTGTTTTTTCCTGATCATTAAATGAATGAATGAAAATCTCGTACTCGTGCCTTAAGGAAGGCGCCAGGGTCGGTGCTGGCCATTCGCGACTGCTGATAAGCGGCTGCGATTGGCCAGCGCCGGCCCTCGCGGTTAGGGCTGGATAAGCTGGGGTAAGCTCCCGGCTGATACAGCCCCAAGATGTAGCAACAGGAGGTGTCACCCTGCTGTCAAGATGGCAGTGGGAGAGGAGGAAAAGAGAAGGATGGTGAGGAGGATTTTCCTAGCTTACGGAAAATGATTTTGTAGGTCGGCGTTAAGGACGACGTCTAGGGTGACGTTGAGGATGACGTCATAGAGGACGACGTCAAGAACGACGTTCGAGGACGACGTAAACGACGGTGTCTAGAACAACGTCGAGGACGACGTCTTAGAGAACGACGTCTAGGACGACCTCAAGGAAGAGCTCTGGTAGAACCTCAAGGACGACGTCCTAGAGGACTACGTCAAGGATGTCGTCCAGGGCGACCTCACGGACGACCTATAGCACGACGTCGAGTATGACACCAGGGATGTCAGGTCACGTAAGCTTCAAGTACCGGCGCTTACCAGCTTACGCGATCGGCGCTTACGCTTCCGCCTTCATCGCTTCAGCCACGGGCGTTACGTGACCTTTATTACGTGATCTTGAGCGTGGCTGGGCCTATAAAGCTTTCGTTATAAAAAAATGTCACAGGATACACAAGCTCCAGAGCCGCATCGGCGCCAGAGGCTTTTGAACAAAACGGTTATATAGTCTAAATAAATTATTATAAGGGCTAAAGCACCTCCTTGTTCGTCGCTATTGGCAATTTCAGGGGATTTGACGTCACCAGCAGTAAAAAGGCATGTAGGTGAAAAACGGGGAGGTAGTGCCTCTGCAGCAGAAACTGGCGTGACTATATGCAAAAAGAAAAGCGCCATCTACAGTCCGTTGCAACTCAAGAATGTAGGGCGAGGGTAAGACGGGCCGGGGAGGAGAAAGCAGACGGAACGCTGGAGGGCTAAACGTCCTCTTCCCTTTAGCGTTCCGTCTGCTTCCTCCTCCCCAGCCCGTCTTAACTTAGCCCTACCTTTTTGAGTTGCAACGAACTATAGTGTAGTCAAAATCCATCGTCAAATTTCCGTCATATTGGAGGGTTCCCGTACCGCTAGTTTTGTCCAAGAGACAAGGGCCCCAGAAAAGTGGGAGTCAAATGACTAAAATATGATCGCCTGCTGTAAATCCAGTACGAACCCTTCACAGAACGTCCTCCATAAAAACCACTCACTGACTTTGTTGCTGCGACCTTGTTGCGACCTTGTAATTTCGCGGTGAGTGCCCAGATACACTGTCCTAAAATTATGAAAACCGAGTTAAATGAAGATGCGCCTCATCCACAACTGGACATACCTCCGCAAATCTAACTCATGAGGGCCCTCACTCACCCTCATCTTCACAGGTGAGATGAGGGTGAGTGAGCTTCCAAACCACACCGTAAGGTGAGTGAGTGCCGTGAGGGCTGTGAGGACCGTGAGTGCGTGAGGGCCGTGAAGGCGGTGAGTGTGTGAGGGGTGTGAGGGCCATGAGTGCATGAGGGGCGTGAGGGCGGGGAGTGCGTGAGTGGCATGAGGGCCATGAGGGGCGTGACGGGTAGAGTGCGTGAGGGCCGTGAGGGCGGTGAGTGCGTGAGGGGTGTGAGGGCCATGAGAGCGTGAGGGGCGTGAGGGTGGTGAGTGTGTGAGTGGCATGAGGGCCGTGAGGGGCGTAAGGGGTATGAGTGCGTGACGGGTGTGAGGGCCATGAGTGCGTGAAGGGCGCGAGGGCGGTGAGTGTGTGAGTGGCGTGAGGGCCGTGAGGGGCGTGAAGGTGGTGAGTGCGTGAGGGGTGTGAGGGTCATGAGTGCGTGAGGGGCGTGAGGGCGGTGAGTGGCATGAGGGCAACGAGTGCGTGAGGGGCGAGAGGGCCGTGATGTTCAGTGAAAGTAAGTGAAGGGCTGAAGGTGAGTGTGACTATGAGGATAAGGGTGAGTGAGGGGCTGAGGGTGAGTGTAGCTGTGAGGGTGAGGGTGAGTGAGGGGTTGAGGGTGAGTGCAGCTGTGAGGGTGAGGGTGAGTAATTGGCTTAGGTGAGTGTGGCTGTGAGGGTGAGGGTGAGTGAGGGGGACCTAAAATGCCGACCTCTGCAACTGGAAGACAAGACCTCACCCCCGCCCAGTATGGCGGCTCCTAATGTCATGATGCTGATAGCTGTCATTAATTTTGCATATGGCATATACTGTGGCCGTTAAAGCTAATTTTCGTAGCCCCCCGGAACCTTGGAGAGACGACGATAGAAGGAGCTCACTGGTGAATGTGCTCCCGTCCAGGCTGCCCTCCTCCATGGCCCTCCGGCGCTCGTCCAGGTACACGTCCATGTAGTCCCGCAGCCGGGACTCGTCGAGGCTGCGCTCGTGCTCGGCCACCAGCTTGTCCAGCAGCGCGTGAAAGTCCCGCTTGAGGCTCTGCAGCTCCGAGAAGCCCGCACTCAGCTCAATCGGAGTCACGCTGCACAAAACACGCCGAACTTAAGGCCTCTATGCACATTTGTGTCGGAGAGCATTTGAGTGCGTTTGACTGCGTTGCGTCGAGAAACGAAAGAGAGTAAGCGGCAAATCGGTGCTTTGTATGAAGTGTGGAATCGATTTCAAGAAATGGCTTTGCACGCAACATAAGAAGCAGGGATGTCCTGGTTTCTCGCAGCCGCAACGCAGTCAAACGCTCTAAAACGTTACTGTGCTTAGGTGCCTTTACAGGGATGCAACGGCGCCGATAGAGTGTCGTTATCCAAGGTGTCTGAACTATCTTCCAAAACTCGTAATAGAGATTACGGTATAATTCGATTTTAAAACAAACGTTTTCACGGGGACTTTTCGTATATCGTTTCTTCCGTCCTGCAACGCATTCCGCAACCAGCCATGAGATCCCGGGAACACTTCAGGTAAAGCCAGTGGCTTGTACGCGCACTGTCGGCGTCTTCATTTCGAACAGCGTAGCGGAAGGGGAGCCATGACCTACGAAAATGTCCCTCTTTTTTTTTTTTTTTGCTTTGCTTCACCTTACGGTGGACTGCAACAGATGCCACTAATGGGGACTTTCAGTAAACCGTACGTTGCGGAGAGTGGACCCAGCGGGCGCCTGCTCAATCCATGCTTCACACCAAAGTGGCGGCACGAGCTCCCTCTAGCAAAGCGTAGCTCTAGAATAGTCTACTAAAAGGGTCTAGTGTCACTTCCGCACCTGCCTGCAAGGCAATGACGCTGCCTGTCAAACAGTGTTGTTGCCTTGCCTGCCTCCTAACAGGACGCAAACATATACTAACATACAAACAACCAAAACCTGCGAGGCCTTTTTTTTTCTCCACGGCAATGGTTATTTCGCTTCTTTCAAATCTTCGAAGGGGTCGCTCGGAACGAGTCGCGCCAAGGTCGCTATGGAGCGTTATTGTAGTAGAAGCGTTACTCGAAAAAAAAAAAAATGTTCGCGGTGTATTTAATCAACATATCAGCCATGCCTATCTCCTCAGATCTCTCACAGTGACATTACTATTCTTGCGTATATTGAGAAAATAAAACTGTGTTTCAATGCCGCCAAGCGTCTCTACCGCGCCAAGCATCGATGACGCATGTGGTGGCGTGCGAAGGAGTGGGAGTGCTTCCCCGGTTTGTGGGCAACAAATCTCGGTATACCAGAAATTTTTTTAGAAATCTACCTGTTACCGAGAATTATGATCCGCGCACCAGGAATTGAGAGATCCCCCATGAAGAAACTGCGCATTCCATATACCAGGGGTGGCCAAGCTGCGGCTCTTCGCGTGTGAAAGTGCGGCTCGCGGCACCTTCCCCTAACCCCCACCTTCCTCCCGGTCACGCGAGCACTTCCACAAAAAGATAAATGGAACGCGTCCTAAATCGAAAGACAGGTTGTGGTTTCGTAGTCTTGTGTTACTGCTACCTTACGTACCGTTAGACTGCTTTTGACTCGGATAGATCGAAAGTAGTTTGAGTTTCGTTTATTTCTCTAAACAAAAGTCCCCCCCCCCCTCTCCGCGGCTCTTAGGAGTTTCGTAGTTTTGTTTGCGGCTCTTAGGCCGGGTCAGCCTGGCCACCCCTGAAATATACCAAAATGAACACCAGATAACGGGAAGCTTGGTGCTACTTTGCCAGAATCCAGTGAATTTCGATGCTACGAGAGCCACCGGAACCAATCCCATGGCATGTGAGTGTCAGGTGACTTTGGAGGGTGTCACGTGATACACTGACAGATTGGCTGGGCGCGTAAGTCGTCTGCTGCATCGTCAGCTGAAATGAGAAGAAAGCAGCCTCGTGCTTCTTTAGTAGTAAACGCAGTTCGGTGCGACGCACCATGTCCAAAGGTTGGGCATAGTTGCGTGGAGGAACGGCGTGGCCCCGTTCACCAGGCGGATGAGCCGCGCCAGGTCTCCCTGGTCGTCGCTCGAAGGGACGTCGAAGAGCAGGCTAGCCAGCACAGAGACCACGGCCTCGTTCAGCAGGGGTTCCGGGTCCAGGGCCCTGCCCGCAGCGCCTTCCAGGCGAGCCACGAGTCGGTCGGCCGCCTCGTGTACCCGGTCCTCGACGCTGAGCTTGCCGAAGCAGAAGTCCCGCAGGGTGTGCAGTACGAACCGCCGATGCTCGGTCCAGTGCTGGCCCTCGCACTCAGAGATGCCTGCAGCACACGCGGTCTTGGAAACTGCCCGTGTTCTCAGACGCACACTAATACCCTTGCTCACGAACACTGAAAAGTCTCCAAAACAAACTTCTTTTTTTTAATCAGAGAATTCGTGCGCGTTGGTAGGCACGCCCAGAGTTGAGGTCGCAGAAGAGTGGTACTGTAGTTGATGGCACGTTTAGAGACCAGGTTAAGAGCTAGCAGAGCGAACGCTGATGAGTTGTGATGATGCAATTAATGCAAAAGTGCGAGTGAGCTGGACAAGAATGACGGTAATAATTCACGGAGAAGGGGAACAAGGGGGACAAAGGACAAACACATATCTCCAGACACAGCTAGGTGACCGGTGCGTGACTGGAAAATCCGCCTGGTCCTGGTATTGAACCAGGGACCTCTCCATTTCCAGTGGAGCGCAATACCAACTGAGCTAACCAGGGGTTAGACGTCATTAGAGCAAACGGGTTTTATCATCTGCCACCAGTCTAACACCAACAAAGGTGAACAGCCTGAATTTTAAGGTTATGATGATAATGCAGTTAATAAAAAGGTTAGAGCGATCTGGACAAGAGTAGCGATAATAATCCCTGGAAAAGGGAAACAAGGAGGACAAAGGCAAACAAATTTCCAAACACAGCTACGTGACTGGCTGTGTGCGCACCAGTCACTAGATGTGTTTGGAGATATGTGTTTTTCCTTTGTCCCTCCTTATTTTCCTTCTCGAGGGATTATTATCGTCATCGCTGATGAATTGGTCGCCTGTTCTCCAGCGTTTTTTTCTGCCGAAATAAAAAGGTGGGAGAAGCTTCCCCTGAACTCTGAACATGTCACCAGCTAGAGGGTCTACTGATGAGCAGCGGGGAAATAGAAAAACTACATTTTTAGAGATCAGAACCAGTACGGCAATCACCCCTGCTTTGAAGGCGAAGAATGCGTCGGTGAGGACATGCTGGTTGTTGCTCGTTTTAGTTCGCAAAATAATTTTAAAAAAAAATATAGACGCGCCGCCGTATTCAAACAGGTACTAACCATTTTATTTGCTCAGCTTTCTAAGTATAAGCCCAATCGTGAATTAAGGTTCTCGCACACCCAAAAATAAATTCGAAATCAAATTCTTCCTTTAAAGCGACAATTTAAAGCTTGCCGGTATTTTTTTTCCGCCAGATTTCAAATTAAATTTTACAGCCAGTGTCAAGATCAATTGCTTGAAACCACAGCGTTTTCAGAGTGCCAGCCTATTTATCATTGTCTCCCGTTTCTTGAAGCAGTGGCCGGGGAGAAGCGCGTGCCAGCGTTCGGAACGGTCGCAAGTTTGATTAGCTCCCGAGGAGCGTCTGCAACGGCTTTCACCGGCCGTGGTTCATCTACTGAAATGTCTCAGGATTCCTACCGAGTGGTTCTGCCGTCTCTGCCCACAGGTACCGAAGTTTCGAACTCTGTATTTGCGCATTGTGACGCCCATACAAGATAGACGATCTTCAAACACAAATGGAACGCCATGGCGTTCTAGAAGATTTGATTGGAGCTGGCCAGTACCAAATGAACCATGTTTGGCTCTTCAGGTTTAACTCTCTGACTGCGAAGAGGAAGCTTCTTGCGATAAAAGAACTGGACGTGAAAGAAAAACGTTGTTTGCTCATCGACCCTGATGAATGCGAGGTCCGACTACGACTGCACTGGACACCGATTCACATAAGCGACCGCGCAGTACGGAGGGCCCTGGAGCTTTACGGGAAGGTGAACGAAGTGTCCCGAAACACGTGGAGGGTGGAAGGATTCCAGAATGTTCAGACGACAACGAGATTCGTTAAAATGAACCTCAAGGAGGACACAACAAAAGATCACCTCCCGCAACAGCTGGTTATGTTCGGCAGCAAGGTCCTGGTCGTCGTTCCAGGGAGTGCACCACTCTGCCTCCGATGCAAGAGGACAGGCCACATTCGCAGGGAGTGCCGAGTTCCCCACTGCGACAAGTGCAATCGTTATGGCCACGAGCAGGAGGACTGCATTCGAACATATGCCACCGCCTGCTCCCGGGGACGACAACTCGTAGTTCTTCATCGATGAAGAAGCTGAGAAAGGCGAAGACGACATTCGACGTCCAGTCACTACCGGTGATCCAAAAGTTTCAGACGGACGACAAGAACACCTAGAACGGAAGAATGACACCACCTTGTCAAGTTGTCCAACTGTCCCAAATTGTTCCTGCACGAGAGGACGACACTTTGGCGTCTAATTGTCAAGCTGGTCGTGAAAGAGACCTATCCCGGAAGAACGACACCACCTCATCTAGTCCCCTGGCCGGTCGAGAGGGAGACCTAGCACGGGAGATCGACACCACCTTGACAAGTTGCCTGGGAGCTGACAACCCCGCGGCTGGGAGCATCAGTCCGGACGTCAACGGTCCTGCCTCTGACCGCTCAAAGGGCAGTTAACGAAGCCAGCTTGCATGAGCGATCACCATTCGGACATCACGTCCGAAGACGACCTGGAAATGGAGGACGGCGCTGACCCCTCAAAGAGGCCTTTGGACCTCGTAGAGGAGGGGCCTGACTGGACTCCAGTTCACGGGAGGAAGAAACGGTGCAAGCCCCGCCCTCCCCCAGGCAATGGATGAGAGCGAACCTCGTAGGAGGTGGTTACTTTCTGGTTACATTCAAACTGCGATCGCTTTAGGCCATGTCTTTCTTAGTTCCACTTCCTCTTTACTAGAGCCAGTTGCAAAGTTATGCATAATGTAATTTCCATGTGAGGTTGTTTATATGTCGTCTTCCAATGCACGCTTCCCCCTCCAATCCCAACAACGCTTCCGACTAAAAAAAAAAAAACTGGCCCTTCCACTAAAGGTTTAACATTTGGAACCCTCAACATTAGAGGACTAAACTCTAGTCGAAAACAGTACCAGCTGCTAAGTTTGCTTCACGAGGAGCAATTAGACTTTTTGGCCTTACAAGAAAACAAAAATGGCGGAGAAAGAGCGCGTTACGAGGGCGTTACAGCCTTTTCTTACCTCGTACGAGGTATGCGTAACGCATGCAGTTGGAACTGCAGGGGGTTGTTTTTTATTCCTGAAAAAGTCTGTTCCCCTTTCAGACGTGAGTGTCATTACCGATGTCCATGGGCGTTTTATTTTGTGTGACTTTAATTTGATGGAAGAACAGTAGAGAGTAATTTGCATCTATGCCCCTTGTAAGGTTAGTGAACCGGAGGCATTCTTCCGAAGTATTTCACATTACAGTAATCTGATCGGACCACAATACTTCTAGGCGACTTTAATTGCATTTGTGAAGCAAGAGACAGAACTCCATTCACGCGCGCAAGTGATTCTAGTGCAAATGTGCTGAGTGAAATAATCGCTGAGAATAATTTGCAAGATGTTTTTTAAACTTCAAAAAGTACAAAGAAATTCAGTTCACACATTTTCAGACATCCTCTTACGCACGCCTTGACCGCATTTATTTTTCTAGCGACATTGTAAATAACATCGAATCGTATCACGTAAAACCTGTGTTCTTTAGTGACCACTGTCTTGTAAATGTTACAATTGGAGAAACCCAAACCCCGAGGTCAAAGTTTAACTGGCGATTATGGAAGTTGAACGCAGGCCTACTTAAAGACAAGACATTTGAAGCTGCAGTGGACGATATCCTTGATAAAATGGTTGAGCAAAGCTGGATGTGCCCCTTAGAACGGTGGGAGCGGTTCAAAGAGGAGGCTAAAATGACGGAAATTGAAAGATCGAGCACGCTCAAGTTCTACGCCAGGGCAGAAGAGCAAAAACTGCAGCAGAATTTACATGCTCTGAGTGAAACAGAATGTACTAACCCTGGTCAAGGTGTAAAAGGCATAGAAAATATCAAAGCACAACTCGAACACTTTCAGAAAGCGCGATATGTCGGTGCTGTGGTCCGTGCAAGGACGCAAAGGTGTTCTTTGTGGCGAACAACCTACTAAGCAAGCTAGCTGAAAAAAAGATAAGCTCTGTCCAAAGAAATAACCGAAATCGAGAGAAATGGCACCCTCACCGCGGATAGCACAAACATCGAGGAGGCGTTTGTAGAACATTACCGACGGATATTTTATTTATTTTATTTTTACATACTGCAGCCCCGTCGGGGCTATTGCAGGTGTGGGGGGAAAAATCACAGTTCACAGAATTCAATATTGAATAAGACAGAAAAAAAAATCGTAAAATAGGATCAACCGCTGTCAACCGCACACAGAAATTCGTCTGGAGGTAATGAACGGATGTTACCGGGTAGCAGATTCCAATGTTCAAGCGATCTAGAGAAAAAACTGTATTTGAATATGTCAGTGCGTGCATAAAATGGTGAAATGTTTAGGTCATGGTGGCTCCTTGTTCATGACTCTATGTGAAACCTTATGTATGCGTCTAATGAGGTGAGACGTGGTGAGTTAACCAGACCGTAAAGGACTTTAAGGCTCTCAGTGTGACGTCTATTGGAAAGAGGACTTAAGCTGAGAGCAGAAAGGTTAGAGGATAGGGAAAAATCTCTGTCGTAGCGACGGAAAATAAAACGTCCTGCTTTTTTCCTGGACTGATTCGATTTTGCTAATATCACATTGTTTCCAGGGATTCCATGTTGTTGAACCGTACTCAAGGATAGGGCGTATTACTGTTTTATATGTTAGAGGTCTGGTTTCTTGCGGGCCAACACGAAGGGTACGTTGAAGATAGCCGAGTTTTTGAAGTGCTTTGTTAGAAGTGGAATCGATGTGTCTTGACCAAGACATGTCTTGCGAGAAAAAAAGACCAAGATACTTGCATTTAGAAACTCTTTCCAATGTGCCGCCATTGAATGAATATGTAAACATAAAAGGAACCATACGCTTAGAAAAGGACATTAAGACGGTTTTGCGAAAGGTTATGGTCATTTGCTAGGCCTTACACCAGGTGCAGAAACTTGCAAATGAACTGTTAAGGAAGTTATGGTCTCCAGGGGAATTAATCGTGTGGTGCAGGACACAGACGTCAGCGT